CCTCCAGGTGCCGGCCATAGTCAGGTGCATCCACCAGTGGCTCACGTCCAATGTGTCTGCTGAGCACAGGCTGGACAAGACTCTTGTCCTGCTGACCGAGGCACACCCTGTTGATGTTGCAGTGACCCTGCTGCGCTCTGCCCCAGCCTGTGACAGGTATGGGGCCCACCTGCCTTGAGGGCTCCCCTGCCTTTAGACCCCATCCCCCTGCACAGCCTGTCCCAAATGGTGTGCCAGAGAGATGGAGACTTCCAGGACACTCCAGCTCCTCTCTTTGCCAGCTTTGGCATGTCAGCCCCCAATCCTGAGGCCAGCCTGCCTCCCTGCCCCACAAGGCACCGTGGCTCTGTCACCTGGGCCCTGCAGATGCCCAGGCCACAGCGCTGTGTCCCAGACGCCCCTGAGCCAGAGTTCTGACTCCACAGAGCTGCTCGCACCATGTGGAGGACGCTCATCTCCTCCAGAGGGACTAAGGAGCCGGTGCTGCAGATCCTCTTCCGTGCGCTGGAATTCTGGCCAGCGCACAGGACACGCACCTCGGATGGGGATGAGAGCGATGTCTTTGCCCTGGCTGTGAGTTTATTGAGCTGGCCTCTGCTCAGCCCCAGCTTTCCTTTGGGATACCTTTTCATCCTCCCTCACCACTGCTTCTCCCTGCCTCAGGCACCAGGCTGCAACCCTGGCTTAGGGGCAAGTTCAGGGCCACCAGGCCGGGGGATCCCCCTGTGTCTCCCCTGACCTCTCCCTGCCATGCTGGGGCCCCGCCACATGAACATCTGGGCCCTGAGAGCTGTCTCTGGGTGCTTTGTCTTTGGCAGGCAACTGTGGCACTCTGGGAGATCCTCCAGCTGCACTGGATCCCAGGGGCAGTGAAGACCAATTTGCCCCGCCTCCTTCTGACTCTGCTCTTCCAAGTTTTCATCAGCACAGAGGAGATGTCAGAGGAGGTCGAGACCTTCTGGGGGCGATGCCGGGAGCAGCGCAGCCTTCCCCCCAACCCCAACAGGTGCTCCATCCCAGTCCTCTCTCCCTGCCACGCCCTCGGGGCTGGGGCCGGGGCTCTGCGCCTGACCTGGGCTGTGCTCTGCACACAGGTTTGCAGTGCAGACCGTGAAAGCCCTGCTGCGCCAGCTGCTGGATGAGGACGTGGTGATGGTGATCCATCGCAAGTGTGGCTGGGACATGCTCCTCAAGGCTGACACCCACCACTATGCAGTGGGTCTGCTGGCCAGGTGAGAGCCCTTTCTCCCCACTGCCCCCGGCATTTCTGCCCTGTGCACAGGCCACCCCACACAGTGCCCGTGCTGCTGGGCCAGAGGGCCTTGGCAGCCAGGGATGGCTGAGCAGAGTGGCAAAGGCGGAGAGGGGCGGCTGCACAGGAGGAGCCACCTCCCAAAGCGCCCATGTCCCCTCCTGGGCTGGTGGCCAAAGATCAGGCCTGTGTGAGTGAGTCCCAGGGGAGCTTTACCCACCTGGCTCAGGGTCTCTGGTGCCTTTATTCCCCCTTGCAGGGAGCTGTGCCGTGTCTCCCGCTCCTTCTGCCGCAGCGTCGCCGCCAACCTGCTCCCGCGGCTCAGCAGGGAAGAGCCCCTGTGGGAACTGCCTGCCCTGGCGTTCCTGGTGGAGGTGAGCCTGATGGCGAGCGCTGCCTGGCCCAGCTGCCTCCCCCTCTCTGCCCTCTCACAGCCGCAGCCGCCTGGGACGGTGCCTGCACCCTGTGCTGCTGCCTGGGCCCAGCCCCGGGCGGGTCCGGGCTCCTGCCGGCCGGGCACCCC